TAGAGTCATTATTGTGTAATTATCATTTAAAAAATCTGGTTGGAAGCGTAGGTGCATCAGTACACTCTCAAGGTGCATCGGTACATTGTGTGTAAAATTCAAATATTTTGACCGTTATAAGACCTAGTGCATCGGTACACTTGGGGTGCATCAATACACTAATTACATTCGATGTTTCAAAAGAGCCAGGAGTGCATCGATGCATGGTCTGTGCATCGGTTCATAAAATGCATTCGATGTTTCAATAAAATCAGGAGTGCATCGATGCATGGCTGTGCATTGGTACACAAAATGCATTCGAATTAGGGTGTGCATCGATACATCAAATAGTGCATCGGTACATCCCTTTATAAAATTGATTTTTGACGGTTTTGGTTCGAAATACTTTGTAAAAATTGTTTCAAAAATATTTTAAGTTTAAAACACAATTTTACACTTTAGTAATGATTGAAATTGACCTTTGAAAAACTTAGAGTAATATTTTTGATATTCGAATAATTTAATCGAATATACTTTAAAAATGATTATAAAATCTTAAAATTCAATAACACTTAATTTTTTATATCGAAACATCAAAATATTTTCAACAAACACAAACCAAATTAGCATGCAATAATGGTACCAAATGATAGCGTTTTTCGAATAAAACATTTTTTTATTTCACGTCTTAACCCAAAATCCAAAGAAAATTGTTCAAAAATGGGGAAATAAAATTTTCCTTACCTAGGGTTTGGGTTACACGGCCAAAAGCTGAAAAATCACCAATCTTTCATGAAATTTCTAAGTGATTTCATGTTAATTTAACCTTTATTTAAGCTTAATGAATAAAATATTCATTTAATGAGAAATATCCATTTTGCCATTAATGAAACTTGATATTTACCTTAATACCAAGCTAAATAACATTTATCTTCCTAAAGTCAAAGATGAACAAATTAATTCATCCTTTACAACTTTGCCCATGCAATCTTTTCAAAATTTCAATCTTGCCATTTTTCATCCAATGATCCAAATTAAACATGGAAATAATTCCTCACATCCAATTGTCAATTTTATTTTCATCATTTAAACATGTGGAAATAATATATTTTAAGCTTAATTTATCATCTTCAAATTTTCCCAAAATTTCTATTTTATATGATTTATCGAATTCTTACTGGACTTTAACACCTTCTAGATTTTAAAATAATTTCCAGATCAAACATCTATTTTCCATAAAACCCTAATCTCGAGATAAATTATCCATTTATGGAATAAAAATTCTTTTTAGAAAAATTACCACTTTAATCCCTAAACTTTTTTCAATTTTATACTTTGGTCACCAAACTTTCAAAATTTATGTCACTTTAATATTTATTACACATATCATATATTCGTCATTTAATTTTATATTAATTTTTATAATGAGATTATATATATATGTGTGTGTGTGTCTACAGTAATGAATTTTAATATATCAAATGGAACAAATTAGGAAAAAGGGAGATTGGCACAAATATACAGAGAAAGAGTAAGAAATAATGAATGGGAAGGAAGTGAAAGGTCAAGATCAATGAGTTGGCAATCCACATGGTGAGTATGGGCCGAGGGGTGCAATAAACCGTTTGTGTGAAGGTGGAGGGCATGGGGCCCCTCCATATCGTATCAGTTGCTCATCATCCTGCCTTCGTCATACGTATTTATATATCCACCCATCCAGCTACATTAATCCCATCTTCTCTTTAATTTTGTTGTGAGTATGATTTTGATACAAGTGTTCCATCACTAACATGTTCTTTTTAGAAAAAAAATTAAATGTTAAAAGATTAAAAAAATAATATTAGTAGAAAATATAATTATAAACATAAACAATAACATAAAAAAACACATCCATATATATATTTTTGTATGGACGATATAAAGCCAACGGAGCACATATGAAAATGAATGCTGTGTATATATAAATCATATATATACGAACATCAACATGTGCATAAATCATTATCCATTTCCATACACACTTTGAAGACTTCGCAGGACGCTTGAATTAATTATTTCACAAATATATAAATAATGTCATATTCACAAATATTAAACTAAATGCAGGAAAAATGAAAGGAATGAGGCCATTTTCATGTCCAACGAATCAATTGGAACTTAGCGAATTAAAACTTGTTGGCACCGATAGCCAGCCAGGCCTCCTCTTACCTCCAGGACAAACCACATGGTTTTTGCCATCTTTCACCCCCCCAACCCCAAACACCCACTAGCCATATGCTTTTAAAATGTACTATTGCTGCAACATATACTTGTATAATATTTGAAAGTTTACTTACGTAATATGGTAATAGTAGTTAGAAGATATTATTCATGGCGAGTTTGTACAAATATGTACATATAAATATAATATCTATATAGTGATAGACCAAGGGGTGATTAAGGATAATCTTCTTCTTAAAAATATTAAATTTTTAAATATTTAAGTTATTTTATTATATTTTCATCATCTTATAATTTTATTTTTAAAATATTATAATTTCACCCGCAATCTAAAATTTTGCGTTCATCGTGTGAGAAAGTCATCATGATCGTGCACATGGAATGGGTTTATAACCGTCTTTCGTGGATCCTGGAAGCTTCAGGCAAGTAGAATAGGGGACCCCAAAATTATATTCATACAAAACACCTTCAAGGTTATCAAGATGTAGACAAAACCTAATATACATATGTGTCCATAAGGAAGTTGACTCCTGCCTGGATAATCTTAATATGGTGACCAGTTACGCCTTGCACCATTCTTCCCTCATTTATTTAAAAAAAAACCTTTGGAAGATTTATTTTTTAAATTTGTGTTTTAACAACAGTGTAGGGATAAGTGTACATACAAATGTAACATTATTATTTTTGAATATATTGATTTGTAAGCGGCTTATTTAGTAATGAATTTAATTTTTTTAAAGAATTTATAATTTTTCTAAATTATTATTTGAACATACAAATGTAACATTATAATAATAGTGTTAATAATAGTGTAGGGATAAGTGTACATGCAAATGTAACATTATAATAATAGTGTTAATTATTATTTGAAGGAAGCGATATTTTAGTCATTTTCTAATTTAGTTCGTTTAATATCTCTAGTTTCACGGAGTTGAAATTGGGTTAATGACTATGTCAATTTGGTAAAATTTAAAAAACTGACTATCAAAATATTTTAAAATCAACCGTAATGAATTATTTTGTTTAAAGACATGTAAACCGATAAGTAGAGGAAGGGGTAAATGAACCGAGCTTGAAAGAACAATGTTATATTCGTGTTCGTTTATTTATTTTTAAAGGTGTTTATATTCAGTTTGTGTTCGTTTAAATTTTCAATATTGTGTTCGTATTCATTTATTTATTTTTAAAGGTGTTCGTATTAGTTTATTTATTGTTCACGAACATGTTCGTTTAGCGTTCATTTAGTGTTCGTTTAGCGTTGTTTTAGTGTTTGTTTATCGTTCGTTTATATATTCGATTTTTAATTTCATTTGCGAGCTAAAAAAATGATAAAAATTACTCCACTGGTGGTTAAACTCTTTAAAATTCATAGTTTAAAATACAACTTTTATTATGTGTTCTATTTAATCCTTATCTTCAGCAATATTTAAAGTGTAAAAAAATAAAAGGAAAAGGAGAATCGGGTAAACGAGTTTGTTCATGAACATAAATGAACGAGTTGATAAACAAGCTCATAAACGAGCTTATAAACGAGCTCATAAATGAGTTTTTTCGTGAACATAAACGAACCGAACGCATATCTGTTCGTATTCGTTCGTTTACTAAATGAACATGAACTTTTTGTTCATGTTCGTTTATTTAGCTTAACAAACGAATATAAGCGAACGTTATACGAACAATTCACGAACAGTTCATCGAGCGTTCTGTTTATTTACACCCCAAAAAGAAATATTTGGTGAAAACCAGTGTGCATAGAGAAAATTGTGAAGTAAAGGTCCTTAAAATACAACTTATAATACTCTATCATGATTGAATTTTCAAAATAATGTTTAAACAAATGAAGTGAATTTTGAAAAATTCAGTGAGGTAGTAAATAGATAATTTGTTTAATTAAACAAGACGTATCATATCATAATAAAAAAAAATAACAAAATTTGACATGTCATTTACTAGATTATTACAAGCCAATTCATATCATTTTTTGCACGTGAAGTTATATAATCAAGTAAAGCATTTAGATATATTTTATTAAGTTTAACTTCATCATCTATTAGTAATCTAAATTTGACATGTGTTTAATTTTATGTTGGATTAATATCTGATTAAATCGTTAAATAAAAAGCATAAAAGATTTAAAATATAAATGGTGTTTGGATTTAGACGAACGAGAGAGCTGTCACATACGTGCGTCGGTCAGTTGAAAGTTAAGCATTTGTTGGGCCCTCCACAAGCCAACGTCCATAAGACGACAAATATAAAGAACGTGTGACTAAACATTAAGAAATAAAAACATATACACGTATATACACATTCTTAAAATTATATATATATTAGAATCTAAATAATAATATGGATAAATTATGTATTTAGTCACTACAACTATTACTTTAATTTCGTTTTGGTCATTTAGTTATTTGTTTTTTAAAATCATCACTAATGTTACGTTTTATTTTATTTTGGTCATTCGTTATTAAAAATATTAATGGTGATATAAGGTAATATCACATTATTATTGAAAAAAATGAAAATATCACGTCGGCAGTTTTGATAATCTTTTAATCGTGGGTGACAAAAATAAAACCAAATATAATGATAGTGATGATTCTGAAAAATAAAATAATTAGATGTTTAGAATGGAACTAAAGTGATAGCTAAGTGACTAAATGCATAATTTACTCCAATAAACAAAATTAAAAATTCATGATACACTTCGTAAGAGCCGAAAGGAACACCAAGACTCGGCTCACATGGCCCGTTCTACAACTCTTCTTCACCACCATTTAAAGCTCCTCTCATCTCTCATTTTTTCTTTACATCAAAACCTTTGATTCCAGCGTAGTGCTAAGAAATCTACACACATTTGCTAATTCTCTTTTTTACCTTACGAAACATATGGAGTCAAAGAGGTGCAAAGAGTTCACTAGGGTGAAATATTGGCGGATGAGGAGGAGGCGGACTGCTTCTGGCGGCGGCGGCCGGTCGGTTAGAATGAAGGTGAAGAGGTTGCAGAAGCTAATTCCGGGCGGGAAAGGGATGCAAACGGATCGATTGTTTTTGAGGACAGCAGATTATATAATGCATTTGCAGTCACAAGTTCATATTTTGCAAGCTCTTTCCAAGATTTACCAACCTTCAGTGTAATCTCTCTCCTTTTTTCTTTAAATTTTATTTTGTTAATTAAGATTTAAATATGTATGTAGATTATATTTATACTTAATATAGAAATTAGATGGCCTTTGCAGCCTTGCCAGGTAAAAATGTATGTTCTTCCCCTATTTATGGTAATTATATATGTTTGTTAAGGGCTTTTTTTTTTTTATTTTCTGTGTATTTTGTTAATATTGGTGGGTTTAATATCCTCTGCAATCTTTATATAAATTACATATTTTTATATAAATAGATCATATTTTTATATAAATTACATATATCAATGTTTTGCTTCAATACTTTTCTTTTGTGAAACTATATTAATATTAATATAGAATATTTATAATATTTCATCATTTTAAGTAGTTCAAGAATGTTATGGATCAATCCAACCCGAGCTTAAATAAGTTGGATATACAAAAAATAAAATCATTACTTGGCTCCTAGATAAAACTACATTTCTTTAAATACTTTTTATAACTTAGAAAACAAAGTAATTAAATGTTTAATTTAAAAGAGTGTATTTGAATTAATATGTTGGTATAATTTATTAGCTCATTTTCCTGATAAACAATATCATACATCTTCAAGTTATGATATATAATTTTAAAGTTATCTTTAAATTTCTAAATTATTTTAATGGAATCATCAAAATATTAATATCAAGGGTAAACTACGCCGATGGTCACTAATGTCTGGATTAGTGTTCTTTTCACCACTGATGTTTTAAAAGTTATAAATTGGTCACTAACGTTATCGTTATTACAAAATAGTCACTCGACGTTTCTTCTTCTTCTTCTTCATATGGAGGAGTATATTTCGTGTGTGATGATCGTTTCTTCTTCTTCATATCCCAGTATAGTGGCGGAGTATATGCCGTGTGTAATGATTGTTTCTTCTTCTTATGTCGTGTGTGATGACCATTTCTTCTTCTTCTTATTCTTCTTCATATCCCAGTATAGTGGCGGAGTATATACCGTGTATAGTGGCAAAGTATATGCTCTGTGTGATGATCATTTCTTCTTCTTCTTCTTCTTCTTCTTCCTCAAATCTTTATGTGCAGAACCATATCGTTGAACTGATGCAACTACATAAGTAGGATCTGAAGATGGGAAAAAAGGAAAGGAACAAGTAAAAAGATGAAATCTTGAGGATAACAATAAGTTTCTTGAAATGACAGCGACATAATCTACCTTTCAAAGACGCAGCAGCCACATAATATAGAGAACCTATAAGAGCAACTGTTATTACTATTGTGAATGCCTGAGCAAATGAAACAAACAACGGTATCAAACAGTGTGTTAGAAAAAAAAAAGGGCACACCCTATGTATCAAATAATTTAAATGTAGTTACACAATAATACCAGTTTCTTTTCACAAAAGAAAGAGGGAGGTGTTTCCAAGTTATTTTGAAGATAAAGAAGAAGAAGAGTCAAAAGGTAGATCAAACATGCTGAGTCAGTTGGTTTAACGTGCCACATCAGCATTCCGTTGCTACAGTAACAATTGTTAACGATTGTTAACGTCAAGTGACCATTTTGTAATAAGCGATAATGTTAGTGACTAATTTGTGACTTTTGAAACTTCAACGATGAAAAGGAACACGAACCTAAACATTAGTGACCATATGCATAGTTTACCCTAATATCAATAACGATCAAATCTTTCCATTGACCTAATAATTAACCTGAGCAGTAAATGTCAACTTAAATTTGATAGGAGGTATATTTAAAATATGTGGATTAATTTATACACACATGCGTACCTATTGGATGTACAATTTAAATTTGACTAATTAAAGAAAAGAAAAATAAATAATTATCCTAAATTTATTAATATAATCTATTATTTTTAACACATCATATTTAAATTCTCCTAGTGATAGGTGAATATGTGTTTATAATTTATTACACGTCAAATCCAAATTAGTATATAACCAAAAATTGGCAATTTTGTTGATAGAAAGAGCTAATTAATATAAGATGAGTATGTCATGCTCGACAAGTACCGATGAGCATCACTAACGATGAGTATCACTAATTTAATTTATAAAAATTTAAAATTCTAAAAGTTATAAATTAGTTAAAAAAAATTAAAGGTTAAATTATTTAAAATAAAAGGTAAACTATACTAGTGACCACTTAACTATTATCCTTTTTCATTTTGACCACCATTTCTGAAATTTTATAACTCAGGTCACTCAACTATTTAATGCATTCAATTAAGCCAATTTTCGTAAATATTTAACAGAGAAACTGATGTGACAATTAAAATATTTGATATAATTACACATTTGATCATTGTTAATTATATATTCTATCGATTTGGTCCTAATTTTAATAAATTAGAATAAATTTAACCCTCAAATCAAATGATACCATGTGTTACCCATGCCAAGTATAATGACATGTGTCACCATCCGATTGGATGACTAAATTTAGTTTAATTTATTTTTTAATTAATATATTTTTCTCATCGATCAAAAGGTGACAGTCACCCTCTAGAGGAAAGAAAATTTTAAACTCTCAAATGATACCTAATGGAATCAAACATGGAGTTCCTGGATTGAAGAAGCAAGACTCAACCATTGAACCAAAGTAGTTAATTGGTTCAAATCATTTCATGAACAAGCAATTAATCAAATCATTCAAGCTTCTAAAACCATTTTGAAACTACATTGGAATATTCAAATCGATTACATTATAAATATAAATTTATTAGGACCGTTTTAAAAAATTTAAATTTTTATTTACTAAATAATGGTTTAATAAATAGATCTTTCAAAAATAAGAATTCTAAAAACGACAACTGATTCTAACATCGTATTCAAAAGGTATAGAGAAAATACTAATTTCAGGGGGTTTGGAAACCACCCGAGGGGTTTCGAACCCACAAAAACTTTGAGCATTTCGTCGAAATGGTTTTGAAACCTTAGGGGTTTCGAAACCTCTGCTCTAATTCACTATAAATGTAATTCTAAACCCTAAGTTACCTCTATTTGGTCCCATAATCACTAAGTAAAATCAAATATGAATTTGGACATCAAAAAAACACTCAACATGCATTACATAATGCTAAACTCCACCTATATGACCCATAAAAATTCTGCATCCATTTAAAACAATTAAAAACTCTTTTAGAGCAAAATCAAACACTATTCAACACTTATAAACCTTTTTACCTTTCTATGGACCCTATGAGAAGGAGCATACAAATCACATCATTATCAATATTGAATGAATTGAGTCCCTAAATATAGCTACATTCAGCAAACCATGTTAAAATATGAGTTAAGCTAAATCAGTGAAATACATAGGATGAGAATTAGGTTACCAATGGGTGCTTTAAGATAAGGGTATATTCATCCATAAGGCAAACTACGCGTTCTCACAAGAATTCTACCTAATCAATATACCATCAAAATAAAGGCCCTTATGGACCATACAAATCCATCAATGACTAGTTTTATCAAGTACATATGCTATCACTCCTATACATGCTATTAATAATGTAACATCCTCAATACTGGGTTAGTGATTAAATTGTAAAGTTTGGGAATTTGGTGATTAAAGTAGATTAATTGAATAGTTCAAGGACTTATATGGTAAATGTTGTGTAGGATCAAATTATAAAGAATGAGGAATTGAAGGATAAAATGGTCATTGACAAGGGAAATAATTTAATTTGTTATGGTTATATATGTTTCCATATGGGATGAGGGGGAAGAAACCAAGCTTTTAGAGTGCTCTTCTTCTCCTTTCTTCTTCATGCGTGTGAGCCCAAACAAAGGTGAGAATTCTTATTAGCTACTTATTAGCTGAAATTAAGGTTGGTTTATGATCATTAGATGGAAATTAAGCTTAAGGAAAGCTTAATTTGTTTTAAAACAACAAGACGAAGGGTGTAGGAAAAAGTAAAGATTATGAGTTCTTGAATGGAATTTTGGAATAGAGTTCATAATTCGAATTGGAAGTTAAATTTGACTTGTCATCAACCGAATTAAGGCATATAAAATGTTAGAATTAGATTTAGAACATGTTGCAAAGTTGGTGTAATTTTTTAATTACATATGAAGGATAAGATTTTGAGGTTAAAGAGGTTATTATTAAGTAGAAATGAGTTTAAACATGAGTAGATGAACTAAGAATATGTGAAGGATCGAAATATGAAGTGTTGAGCTGAAAATGAAGTGATTTTCGTGCTCAAAATATGATTTCTGGGCAGAGTGTATCGGTACACATTCAACAGGTATCGATACACTCTTGAATAAAGAAAACATCGAATGCAATAAGTGTATCGATACACATGTATCGATACACCCCTTTAAGATGAAAACATCGAATGTAATTTATGTACCGATACATAGGTAGTGTATCGATACACACGTTAAAGGATGTTCGATACACTGTAGAGTGTACCGATACCTACCTTAATTAAGAGATGAAAATAGTCTTTCTTTTAGTCTAAGAAGTGATAGATTAGAATATACCAATTAGTATATTGATATGTATCAATGTATTATTATGTAGATTCAGAGCGTAATCCCGTTTCGGAACAATCAAAGAATTAGGATCAAGTCAAAGCAAGCAAGCCTAAGGTGAATGCATATTCTAGATAGAATTGTATCGAGATAATACTTGCGATGAGTCTATCTCTGATAATTAAAATTATGGTTTCATATTCATGCACATACATGCATATATATGTATTAATGTTATAGTGATTTCAAGCATAATTCATTCATGCTTTAACATGATACTATATGAATGAATGCCATTATAAGAGAATCAACCCAGGTATGTGAAATAATGGAAGTGATCATATGTGTATATGAAGTGACTCATGTGTTTACATGGAGAGTGATAAAAGAGATATAAAAATGAGAAATGTATTTATATTTAAGCCCGTGTTATTTAATATGAGAGTTGTAGGTATAATTGGCATGCCAAGAGTCGAGGGATTTTCAGTGGTCCTTCGGGACAAATATTCAGTGCCCCTAGTGGAAATTTATTCGAGCTGTGGTGACAACATTCGTGTACAACCTCAGTGTACTCACGTACCTCCTACTCTCAATAATGTACATGGGCATCTAAAGATAAACTAAAAGAAAATTATTATAAGAAGTGAAAGTTCATTTGTGCATATCATAATTATATGTTATAGTGTAGTATACATGTACATTGCAATGTCATAATAGATTGATGGTAGTACATGTTCATGATTTTATTGTTATGTGTTTATTATTATGCCTCACTAAGTCTATGATTTAGCGTGTAAGTGATTTACACGTAGGTACCAAGAAGCAAGAAGATACAAAATAGGAGTAGCAAGGACAACATCACTACTAGAAGATCAGATCAGAAGTAACTGATAAAGTATGTATTCTGTTGTGCATAATGTGTTGGCATGTAAGAAATGTGTTAGTTACGAATGCTCTGATCGATTTTGTATTGTTTTGGTCAACTTATATAAAGTAACAACTTTTATTTTAATGAAAGTTTAAAATTTCTTTGATTTTCTTTAAGAGCCAAAGTTTAAAAAGTCAATGTAACACCTCAGACTCGTATCTGGGTCGGGTACGGGTTGGGGTGTTACATTTAATGGTATCAAAGCTACGACTTAGTCGATTCTCGGCATAAACTGGGGTCTATAGTGTCTTATAATGTATACATGCAAACAAAATAGCGAAAACTTTTGATCTGATAGAATAGTAAGTATGTTGTGTTGCTAATAGAATGATATGGTTATGTTTTTATAGATGTCCGGACATGATAGTTCTAGAAGTGAAGCGGGAGAGGATATGCCTGCTAAGAGCAGTAATTCACCTGCCCTGGCCAGGCAAGGTGAAGAACAGACACCTTCTGGAGTACCTGTAGCTGATCAAGATGTATTCTTTAGGATATTGGACGTGGTATTGGCGCATTTCCAATATTTTTTACTTCAACTCCAAAAATGAATGTTGTAAAGAAGTTAAAGGGTTTAGGAGCACCAGAGTTTAGAGGTGAAGTCGAAGAAGGTCCTGTTGTTGCGGATCTTTGGCTTAATGACGTGAAAATCATGCTTGAGGGACTTCATTATTCCGATGCTGAGAAGATCGATGGAGTGGTTTCCTTGTTGAGAGGGCAAGCAAGGATTTGTTGGACTAACGTTATATTGAGAATGTCTGGTGATCAAGTAAATTGATCCTTGTTTTTAGAAGAATTTAAGCATAAATACATCGGAGATCAGTTCATCCGACAGATGAATCAAGAGTTCATGAACCTGAAGTAATGGAATCGCACCGTATATGAATATTAGTGTGAATTCAATAAGTTGAGCCACTTTGTTGTCAAGCTTGTTCTAATCGAGAAAGATGCTTGTGAGTGGTTCATAAAAGGTCTGCATCC